ACTCTATTCAGTTAAACTAATGTCCAAATCTGTCATTTGGTACTTAATGAATACCGAATGTATATATTTTTTTCTCTTTGCCTAGCCTTCTCTTTCATTTCACTCCACTCCACCCACTGCTTTTTCGTTTTTTTGATCCAACACTCCACCCACTGCTGAATTGGAGACTTTTGAAGTGGATCAACCATTTGGAATCTTGATTCCCTTTCATGAGCAATTGCAAATATCTCTCTCTTTTTTTTTTAGGATTAATCTCATTTTGCACCCCGAAAGATTGTTCGAATCTCAATTTACACCCTTAAAGATAGAAATTTGTATCAATGTGCACCCCCAAAGATCAAAAATCTTAATTTGCACCCTCAAAGATAGAAATTTGTATCAATGTGCACCTAAAAACTAAATTGATAAATTATACCTAGATCCCCTCATACTTGTCACTTAATCATTTAGACCTCTTCACATTTAGAATATTACTCTTATATCTTATGACATTTGTACACGTAATCTATTTTCATTGATATCTATTAATATAACCGTTAAAAAATATAATTTTATCCTAATAAAAAATTATAATTTCATATTACCATTTATTTTATGGGTTTAATATATTCTAAAGCTCAAAATCTAGTTTACCATTTGAATGTCTAATAAAATGTAAATATTTATATAATATTTTTCATATTATCTTTTATATAAATATCTACATTTTATTAGACATTCAAATGGTAAGCTTGATTTTTAACTTTAGAGTATATCGAATCCACAAAATAAAAGGTAATATGGAATTATAATTTTTTATTAGGATAAAATCATATTTTTTAATGATTATATTAACAGATATCAACGAAAAGTGGTTATGTGTTACACATGCACAAACATCATGAGATGTAAGGGGAATATTCTAAATATGAAGGAGTTCAAATGATTAAGTGACAAACATGAGGGGATCTAGGTATAATTTATCAATTTAATTTTAGGTGCACATTGATACAAATTTCTATCTTTGAGGGTGCAAATTGAGATTTTTTATCTTTGGGGATGCACATTGATACAAATTTCTATCTTTGAGGGTGTAAATTAAAATTTTTGATATTTGGAGGTGTAAATTGAGATTTGAACAATCTTTTAGGGTACAAAATAAGATTAACCCTTTTTTTTTATACATACAAGCAACGGTTGGAGAGATTGATGCACATAAACTAGCTCAAACACGTTGAAACAAACAAGTTCAGCCCTTGAGCGAAGGTTTTCATACAATACCATGATAATAATAAAGAACATGCAGAGCCAAACATTGTCTCTTTGATCTCACTGTCAATTAATGATCTTACATGGTCAATATTTGCATCCTTGCTCATAATAGCCGGTGTTATGTTACACATTCTCTCTAAAATTTATAAAAAAATAAAATAAAATTACCGACCACGTATCTTTCTTGGAACCAATCATAGGCGGGAGCTATGTACACCAAATACAATATCTTTTAGAGAAATACTATGTAATTTAAATTTGTAATTCAAATTTGCATCTCAAATGAACGAGAATCATTAAATGAGTAAATCCCATAAATTTTTTTAAATAAGAACTACAGATTCAATAATCCTTATTGATTTGAGATGGTATTTAGAATCCCAAATTCGAATTACATAACATTGCCCTATCTTTTACCCATTCACTACAAAAAAAAATATTTTTTGCGACGATTTTAAATTTGTCGCCACAAATTTACTATTGGCGACGATTTTATAATCTTGTCGCAAATTTCAATTTTGTTAATTTTTTTGGCGACGTTTTTTCCAAAACATCGCCAAAATGGAATATATATTTGATTTTTCGCGACGTTTTAAACGTCGCCAATAAACTTTTTTCGGGAATAAAAGATTTTAAAAAAATTTAATTGATTTTTCACGACGTCTTTTAAAACCGTTGCAAATAAACTTTGTTCATGAATAAAAGATTTTTAAAAAAAAATTAATTGATTTTTGGTGACGTTTTTCTAAAACGTCGCAAATAAACTTTTAACCTGAATAAAAAATTTAAAAATAAAATAATCTAATTGATTTTTCACGACGGTTTCAAAAAACATCGCAAATAAAGTTTTTTTGTGAATAAAAAATTTGAAAAAAATAATTTAATTAATTTTTCGCGACTTTTTTCAAAAACGTCACAAATAAACGTTTTATATGAATAATGATTTTAAATTAAAATAATTTAATTGATTGTTGGCGACGTTTTTATATAACGTCGCGAATAAAGTTTTTTGATTAAAAGATTTTAAAAAAACAATTTAATTGTTTTTTTGCGTTAAAAAACGTCGCTAATAAAATTTTTACATGAATAAAAGTTTTAAAATAAAATAATTTAATTGATTTGTTGCGACCTTTTTTAGAAAATGTGGCGAATAAAGTTTTTTTGAATAAAAGATTTAAAAAAAACAATTTAATTGAATTTTTGGGAGACGTTTTTAGAAAACGTCTCGAATAAAGTTATTTTGATTAAAAGATTTAAAAAAAACAATTCAATGAACACTCAATTCATCAAATTAACATTCAAATTATCAAATTAACATTCAGATTTATCAAATTAACATGTAATATCATCAAATCAACACCAAATTAACATTCAATTTATCAAATTAACATTCAATTCATCAAATTAATATTCAATTAATCGAATTAACACCAAATTAACACTCAACATCTTCTAATTAACATTCAATAAGATCTAATAAGCATTTAATTCACTAAATTAACAATCAAATTCAACTATTTAACATTAAATTAATCAAATAAACTTTCAATTTCATTCAATGAACTCTCAATTCGTCAAATTAACATTCAAATTATCAAATTAACATTCAAAATTTATTAAATAAATTTTCAATTTCATTCAATGAATACTCAATTCATTCGTAATTGACATTCAAATTATCAAATTAACATTCAGATTCAACAAGTTAACATTAAATTAATAAAAAAAACTTTCAATTTCATTCAATGAACACTCAATTCATCAAATTAACATTCAAATTATCAAATTAATATTCAGATTTATCAAATTGACATACAATTTCATAAAATTAACATGTAATTTCATCAAATCAACACTAAATTAACATGTAATTTCATCTAATTAAAATTTAATTTATCAAATTAACATTCAATTCATCAAATTAACATAATACTTAATCGAGTTAACACCAAAATAACACCCAACATCTGCTAATTAGCATTCAATTTTTTCTAATAAGCATTTAATTCACTAAATTAACATTCAAATTCAACTAGTTAACATTAAATTAATCAAATAAACTTTCAATTTCATTCAATGAACACTCAATTCGTCAAATTAACATTCAAATTATCAAACTAACATTCAAAATTAATCAAATAAACTTTAAATTTCATTCAATGAAAACTCAATTCGTCAAATTAACATTCAAATTAACATTCAAAATTAATCAAATAAACTTTCAATTTCATTCAATGAAGACTCAATTCATCAGATTAACATTCAAATTATCAAATTAACATTAAGATTCAACTAGTTAACATTAAATTAATAAAATAATTTTTCAATTTCATTCAATGAACACTCAATTCGTAAAATTAACATTCAAATGATCAAATTAACATTTAAATTCAATTAGATAACATGATGGCAGGAATTGATAAATTTTAGTTATTAAAGCAAATAAAATAGCGGGAATTGATCAAAAGGCTGCCTTTGCCCTAAATCATCTTACCCTTTGCCTCTTTGTCTGCGCCTCTCCTCCTCGTTAATGACAGTCATCTCCAATGTGAGTTCCCATCTCTATCTCTTCGTCTTCGGCTCTGCCTCCTGGAATTGTCTGCCCCTCTGTCTCTTCGTCTTAGCGACTGTGGATCTTAACATCATAGCCATTTCCAACGTGAGTCTCTTTGTCTCTCACTCACACACGCATACACACACATAAAGTCTCTTACTCTCTCTCATTCTCGCAATCTTGTGTGCAATCGAAGTGGAAGAAAAGCTAAAGTGACTCGATTGATCAGAGCTCCATCGAGCATCGATGACTACCAGGCTACTAGCAAGTACATACTATCTCTCTCTGTGCTATATCTAATTTTTGGTTGGACTAAAAACAATTGAAGGAAGATGTGCTGTTGGTGACTACAACCGATTTGGCTTATTTTAGTTCTTTCTATATATAACATGCATTTTGCTACCATTTTTTGAGATTTTGTTTTTCATTTGTCCCTCCATAATTATAGCTTCTTAGTGTTTTATTTGTCCCCACCAAATGCAAAAACTATGTAATTGTCAAGTGCCACCTAGTTTGGTTCCATATCATACCTGTGTAACCAAGCATGACTAGTGACTCAAACTGCAGCAACTCTTAACCACGAAATGAATTTATTTAATTAGATATACTTCAATACAGGGATCCTTCAGAAAGATAAGAGTGTATGTAAGAAATCAACTAAGCTACTAAATCTTTTTGTGCATATGTAAAATGGTTTGTGGGGTTATGGGGATAGGAATTCTTGCACACCAAAGTTGAATGCTTAAGGAGAGCTTGTATCTCACATTAGATGCTTAGAGCTACCCAAGGTAGGTCAACATGATTAAGGGATCTCTACACTCATTTTCAATTAGTTTTGGGTTAGATGCTCTGACTTGGTATTAGAGCTGAACCTTGAGTGGCCTATGTTAGAACTGAGCCTTGGGTGGTCCTGGGGCCAAGTTTAAGTTTATTAGCCATTTGAATTTACTAGTATGCATGTTTGTTTGTTTGTTTGTTTGTTAGCCTCACGTGCAAGCTTGGGTCTTGTGTAAGGGAGGGTGTAAAGAGAGCTTGTATTTCACATTGGAAGATTATGACCACTCAAAGTTGATTAATATGCTTAAGCGCTTCTCTAGTCATTACCAATTAGTTTTGCATAGATTGATTTATAGTTCACTTAGAACTATTGAGTTTGGTTTACAAAAGTACATGATGGTTAGAGATTGACTGAATCATGCTTCTCCTTGAACATGGTTTGGGTTTGGGTCAGCAGAAACTCTCACTCAAAATGATAAGGTTGGGGTTAAGATTGGGTATTTACCTGTTCCTAAACCCAGTGCTTTGATTCAGCATGTTTACCTTGGTTGAATCTTTGTATTTTGAATTGAATACCAAGTTATAAGATGCCCTTATGCTCTTTTTTTTTTATAAATTGATATCACATCAAATTTAAAGAAAATCACGAAGGAAACCGAAAGAAATCAGTGGAAGAAACCATAATGAAAGACTATGAACAATTGTGTCCATCCTAAAAAATTCTAGATTTCTTGTTTTCGTAACATCTCGTAGAAAACCTTCAGTTGGACAGTTTATGCCACAAAGGCTTAAAAGAATGTTTGAAGCCTTATTGCTACTATACTTGTTTTGCTTATCTTAGCAAAATTGAATAGTGTGCCACACAATGTACATTGCCTGGTTTTCTTTGTGAGGTTTCCTTTTAGGTGAGAAGTGGGTATAATCTGGTCCCCAGGGGAGGGTGAAAAGTTTTTCATCTGCATATCTAAATTCCTTTCGTAAGATGCTATAAGTGTTTCTTTCGGTGATGTTCAGGGGATGCTGTTGTCAATGTTTACATAAACCATGAGAAGAAGTTTGCCTTTGTGGAGATGAGATCTGTTGAGGAGGCCAGTAATGACATGGCCTTTGATGGAATTCTTTTTGAGGTATTTAGTTGTCTTCCTGAATCAATTAGGGCTGGAAGTTTGTGTGTCAGGCTTTGACTCTTGTTTTTGTGGAAACAAAAAAGGAGCAGATGCATTAGAGCAATGGTTATACAAGAACTGTTTTTCATCTATTGCCATACATGGTGACAAAATACAGATGGTTAGCCATTTTTTCTTTCTTTTTCACTCTATATTGGCAATTTTGGACTGGGGCATGAAAACCATGCACGAATGTCATTTCTCTTCTCAGGGCATTTATGTTCCTACAATATTCAATATTAAAGTTAAAATTATAAAACCGTTCTGTTATTTGAATAATCTCTTTTTTGACATACGTTTATCAAGATTTATTTTCATAAACATAGTAAAATACTTAATAGTTTGAACATCACAACGGCCATAGTCTCGGAGCATCCCTCAGCTTCATTCACCTCTTCTCAATAGCGGGTGGCGTACTGCCAGAGGCCCTCGCCCACCTTTCGCTTGAGTGTGAGCAGCACACCAACATCCTTAAGCTTTTTGCCACTAGTGATGAACCAAGCCGTGAATTGTTCAATCATTTGCCTCATGACCAAATGCTATTCGGAGTAAGGCTCTTATACCACTTTATGACAGTATCTCCCAGGCTCATGAAGAATTCTTGGCATAACAATTCGTGGTCAGTGGTGTAGATTGACAATAGTTGTTTATACTGTCGAAGATGACTCTCCGGATCCGTCAGCCCATCATACACCTTGAAGAGGGGTACAATAAACTTCTTTGGCATTCAGACTTCTCTTATCAGGAACTTTTGGGGTCTAATTAATATTCAAATTCAGGACTAAATTTTTAATGGAAGATAATTTCTTTTTCTATCGTGTAATTGTTAAGTTCAGAGCTTTTAAATGCTCCATAAGCACTTATGGAGTCTTTTTGTACTATTCTTTGGTGCCCTTCCTTTTAACAGTCCGCTCTAAGTTGTGTCCAAAGCATCTCTCTCTATGATGATATAATCAACTTTAAGTGTAAGCTAAGCTTTGTTAGCTTTATAGTTGTCTCTTTTATCTTTATAATTCTTTGGATATATTTTTCTATCTTGAATTTCATCGATCCTTCTTTGGAATACTTGATGTGCATTCTTTAATCAAAAACACATAACTATGACATTCGTATTGTCCTTGTGGAGTGCTAAAGGTTTTATTATAATACAGTACACTGTCATGCAAGGTCCTGGAAGCTCTATTGTTATTATTTGTAGAGTTGATTGTAGGGGAGAAGCAGGTTGGTTTCTTTGTTGTTGCTATGGAGGAGAAAACTATCGTGGCCAATTAATTGGGTCTTGACCCTTAGAAAACTATGCTGCAGGATTCTCTTCCACCTAATTTATTGCTGTAGTTTCCTCAGTTGTCTTCGGCAGTCTTTGGGAATTGCAGTTGCATCATCAGCTGGACTCTCCAGCTAGACTGTCAGGAAACTTCCAGCTAGACTGTCAGGAAACTTTCTCTTTATTTGGCCCGCAAACACAATGCAGCAGTTTTTGGTCTGAAGTGCACTGTTCATGTGACTGTTCATGTGCATTTTCAGCTGCTGTTGCAATTTGATTCCTTCATCAGTTGGACCCCTTCGGCAATTATGATTTTTCATTTGTTTTTCAAATTCAGCAGCTCTTAGTTGGATTTTCTCAACTGGAGTCTGCTGCTACAGTTGGAGCTTCCTATTTCAGCTGGACTATTTCTACAACTAGACTCTTACTTTAGCTGGACTTCTGTTTCAGCTGTACTTTATATTTACAAATCAATTTGGTAAAAACCAGCTTCATGGTGAGGTAATAGAGCACTACTCATAGTTGTTTGACTTAATTTTCCTTTTACTATAGGAGCCTCACTTACTGCAACGTGGTTTTAGAGATATTTTTTGCATATCCACTCATTATGCTGAATCACCTTTGAGCTGTAAACATGCTAAGGTTTCGCCTCAATTAGAGTATTTGCATATATTGTTTGCATATGGACTTAAAATATCTTTCTTTGGTAGGCTTCAGCTCATTTTCCCTTGTTGGCTAAACAGTCTTGTGTGCAAGTTTTACATGTATCCTACTAGAATATTTGATTGCTAGGCAGTGATACATTGCTAGGCAGTATTTGCATATATTGATGCATATGGACTTAAAAAGCTTGTTTCTCTTGACCTGGGAAACAACTTTTTGTTGGGTAAGCTATTGTGAATTAATTAACCCAATGCTGGAAATCCATGGAGCAATTTAGAAATAAGTGATTTCTAGAATATTTGATTGCTAGGCAGTGATACATTTTTTTCCTTTCTCTTCTTAATGAATTAAATATTTCGTGCGACACTCTTACCATGTTGCTTGTGTTCTGTAAAATTCATTTATCCCAATTGCTGCACAAACAGGAAGCCTTTATGTTAAACTAAATAGAAGCTGCACTTTTTTCACCCCAACTCTTTCTTGGCCCATATTTTTGTATATTCATTCTTATATTATATTCTTTTTACCACCATTATCTTGACATATTTGATTTCCTTCTGAGCAGAAAAAACTTATATGCTGTGTGTTTCTTTGAACTCTACAGACATTGGTTCGATATCAGTTGCCAATGGTGGTTATAGTGTTTAACAATAGTGGTGTATATGGTGGTGACTGGAGGAACCCTGAAGAAATTACAGGACCTTACAAGGATGACCCTGCACCGACTTCTTTTGTCCCTGGTGCTGGATAGCATCTTCTAATTGAAGCTTTTGGGGGAAGGGGTTATCTTGTTGGGACACCTGATGAACTCAGATCGGCGCTTTCTGAAGCTTTTTCTGCACGGAAGACTACTGTCATAAACATTACAATTGATCCATATGCTGGTGCAGAAAGTGGGAGGATGCAGCATAAAAACTGAGGCAAGCTGTAGCAACTTTAATTTTTGGTTGCTTATGCTTCTTTGTTTGAGTGTGTACTCTGTTTGCTTTTTCTGGATGTTGTCTTTTGTGATGCCTTTTGATTGGGTGAATCTAAACCTGTATTATCATGTGTAATTTATAAAGCTAGAGTCATGGTTGTTGCTAGCATGTAGACAAGACACACACTCATAACCAATACCTTATGTTTTTCAACTTTTGCTTATGTTAGCAGTTTGGTTGGTGAATGGAAATTGAAAGTTCTGCATCAAAATGGAGATTGAGGCGTTTGTCATAATTTTTTTTTGTGGCAGAGTTAGTTGTTAATAACCTTCTTGTGCACCTTAACATCTGCAATGACATGTTTTTTAGTTTATAATCTGAAATTACACTTTGAGATTGCTTCAATAGCCCCCTAAATAAGTGCGTGCATAACTAGCGATGAGTATGTGGATCAGTATTATTCCTCTCTCTTTCTCTCTCTCTGTGTCTCACTCCCCCCCAAAAAAAAAAAACACACACACACACACACCCCCGAATGTACAAAAGAATCTTTGATCTTTATATTTGTAAATTGATTTGAAGTAAGCTTCTTAATTGGCTGAGTTTATGAGCTATGGTATGTGGGATTGAGTACTTTTGCTAAGTGTCAATGTGTTTCTAGGTTTCAGTACATTTGTTACTAATTATAGAGAGCTTCTTTAAATCATCCAGTGAGATGAGATATGGTGATTTTTTGTTAAATTTTTTTGTGCTGAGTTTCCATTTGTTTATTTTATCGTTTTGCAGCCTATCCCAAATCAGAAAATCCATTGGAGATCTATGGAAGGTCTCTCTAACAGGTAAAAAATTGTTTGATAGATACACATAACATGAATAAACAAGGACAAACTGGTTGTGTTAACTGCTTAACTTTGTTAGGATCAGCTGTTGTATCAGATAGGCTTTTTTAGGTGTAACTCCCTCAGCCTTTTAATTGGTTGTAGCAGCTGGAACAATCACTGTTTACGTGACTGTTCAGCTGCTGCAACAGTCCGGTTCAGCTCACCATTGGAACTTCCTACCTGCTGCTTTCATCTTTTTCGGTGTAGTTAGGCAAGCAAGTATTTTTCGGTGCAATCCATGAAACATTAGGTTTTAAAATAGAGACATAACTTATTATTTTAGGGCCTTGAATGATATCTATTACTGTCGAACAAAGGTCATGTATATTTTAATTCCATTACTAAATGTAATTGATTCATCAAAACAAATAAGCAACTTATTTAGCACAAGCACATAACTTGTCAGAAAAAAGAAAGCTAGTACAAGCATCCATGGTGATGATGGCAGAGCACCGTAATCTATTGAGGAGCCCTAGTCACACAATATTTACACCGGTATGTGAGTAAACTTTATGTTCTGATTTTTATCATTCATGATTAATACTAGTACTTGAGCAGGAGCTATTTGAGTAGGTTTATTTGGCTTTGCCTATTTGAAGGATTAAAGCCAACTTTGCTAGGTGGATAATACTTCTGAGATGGTGTATTTGAATGCATTGGTGTATTCTGCCTGCACTGGTTTGCAGGCTGTATTCTGGTTGAGCAGAAAGAAGTGGATGGATGTAGGATCAGATTTGCTGAGCTAATTTGTGAGCTGAGCTGTGCTGCTGTAATTCCTGGATTCCAGGTTAGGGGCTGCTTTGGTTGCTGAACAACTGGTTTTTTTTTGCTGAGTTGTTGAGTTGAGAGCTGCAATGGACAGCCATAATAGGAGTTATGCTACAAGTGGATTTGTTCCTCCTGCTTTAGGTCCTTTACAGGCTGTCTGATGATGCAGTGATCAGAGTTGTTGAGCTAATGGCAGGGGTCAATTGTGCAGAATTGAGCTGCAAATTGTGTTTGTTAGCTGTTTCTGTAGATGAGCTGTGTTGTGGACAAAAACCATTTTTTCTATTTTTAGAATTTCTTGTAATTTGATTATTGTAATTCATTCTTTTTGGAAATAAAATTTTATTTTTTTTAAAAAAAGATATGCAATGTATTAATTGTGTTGGTTTTTTATTGAACACATGTATTATTGGTGTACAGGTGAAATATTTTATTGGAATATCATTTTTGATGTAAAATAAAAAAAAATGAACTTTTTTGCGACGAAATAAAAATCATCGCAAAAATTGCAAGAAAAGCTTTTTTGCGACGATAATTTTACGTCGCGAAAATCTAATTAAATTATTATTTTTAACATTTTTTATTTATGAAAAAATTATTCGCGACGATTTTTTTAAGTCGCTAAAAGTTAATTAAATTATTATTTTTTACATTTTTGATTTATGAAAAAAATTATTCGTGACGATTTGTTTACGTCGCGAAAAATGAATTAAATTATTATTGTTAACCTTTTTTATTTATGTAAAAAATTATTCCTGACGATATTGTTTACGTCGTGAAAAGTTAATTAAATTATTATTTTTAACATTTTTTATTTATGTAAAAAATTATTTGTGACGACTTTTTACGTCGCAAAACGTTAATTAAATTATTATTTTTTACTTTCTTATGCTCGGGGAATGGATTTTAGCTACGTTTTTGTTACTTTCCGCGATATTTTTTTTCGTCGCGAATAATGTTTTTTTGCGACGAAAAATTTTTTTTGTCGTAAAATACTTTCTGCGACGAGGATATTGCGACGAAAAAAAAAATGTCGCAAAAAATAATTGGCGACGATTTTTTTTAATTTAGCGACGAAAAAAATCGTCAAAAAAAACGATTTTTGTTGTAGTGATTATCGTCATCTACTTAGATATCAATATTGAGGTTAAAAACAAGGATCATATTTCTCACAGTTTTGATCTTTCATTTATGTAACCTCTTACCTCGACCTGTGTTTTAAATGCAGTGTTTGATGAGTAATGTTATTTGACCCTAAAACTTTTACTTAATTTACTGACTTAATGATGTGATTTCATTGAAACCATTAGATCAACACCAAAATTTCAATATTTGATAGGACCCACAATTAATCTAAAGGGTATAGTAAATTAAGTTAACAAATTAGATCAATAAATTATGTTTTAATAACATTACTCGTGTTTGATATATTTTAATATTAGGGTTAATATCCAATAGTGATACAGAGGAATCCATTGCTTCTACCGGAGACCCCCACCAGGTGAACATTCTAACCCTATAAATGTTCTTTCCAACCAGTTGGCACTAATTATGCATTCTTGTTGATGTTCCCACAAATCTTAGGAAAGATTCAATAATAGGAAGTATTTTAAATATCAGCCCATATAACATACTGCAGCATTATACAGTTCACAAGCCTTAAAACTTAAAAGTACCTACTACATTTTGAGGGCGAAGTCCGCTTTCTCATCCAACGGGCAAGCAGGTTCCCCGTGTTGGGAGGCTACCTTTAAATGAGAGGGAGGCTGTCATTTCATGTAACACAGTGGCCATTTATATTCACTCACTCAAATTAAGGGTGCAACGAAAATGTGGAACTGAAAGCACATATTTGTAATAGGAGGAAATTAAGGCTGCTTCTTTTTTGTTTTTCTCTTTGACACCAAGTAAAGTTCTTTATTTGTATAACATAAGGTTAGGTACACATCGTGTGGTAAATTCAGGAGAGCATGAAAAAAATGGTTTCACCAACATGCAAGCTCCTAGGCAGGATTGGTCTGAATTATCAGTGACAAAACTCACTCATAGGAGCAAGAGGGTCTCCTACAATATCTTCACCTTTTATACACGGTAATCATTGTCTTTATAATAGAAATATCAAAGAATATATGGTCGTTAAAAACTTTTTTCTCAAGGTATGACGAGACTTTCTAGAGATGATGACTTTCTAACCAAGGTAAAATTTATAAGTGAAAGTTATCTTTTACCCCTTTTGATAGTTTCCTCATTGATGGTTAGCTTTTAGAGTCTCATTGCTAGTCTGGACACTTTCTAGGTCCACTTTATAGATGATAATCCGCCAAACCTATGCACTATTTAAATTGTTGACCTGACCTGTTCATCATCTGCACTGACATTTTCTTTTGGTATCATCAAGTGTGTCATACCATAGCTAACTATCACATATCTTGAAAGAACTCAACTCCAAGCAGATATACGCCTCTATAGAACGAGGACGTTTACCTCGTTAAATCCGTTAAATAAATGGTTACACTTGCATAATACATGCTAGAATTTTTTGACAAAAAAAAAAAAAATTGCCGCCATAGAGCAAATAGTTCTAAATTATGGAAATTTTGTTAAATTAGAGAAGAGTTTGTTCTCATTAAATAGCAGTATCTTCTAAATTAGTATATAAGTCTTTGAAAAAAGCTTTAAATTTAATATTTAGCAATAGAATATAAATCTTGTAAATCTATTCATTCAGCATCAACAGATTCAGTTGGATGTTTTAACAAATTAAAAGCAAGGCTTAACGCAATAATAAGGTTGTTTAACTATGACAGAGGTGTTGAATATTCCAATTATAGAAATAACCCGAAATACATAGAAATAAGATTATGTATATTAGATGCTCTTCATACCTCACAATGCCCAAACCCACCCATCGCACTAGATTCTACCACTATTTGAATAAGTTGGAAAGTATAATAACTCAAAAAGAGACATTTGTACTCACAAACGTCTCAAATATCAGAGGCTTATATTGTTATATATCAAAACTCACCATATACCGATATAGAATGACTAGTTATTATCTGTGTCTAAAGGTATAGAGTAATAAAAAAAATGGTCAATAATCAATATATTTGTATTTATATCCAAAATTAAATAAAAAAACTTAAAGGAGAAAAAAGAATTTAAACACCGGTTGTAGTAGG